GGGGGTGGGGGGGGGGTATGGAGTCAAATGGGAGTGAGTCTTACTAAATCCATAGATGGGTACATGCTGCATAGTTTTCAGTGACAGGAGAATACATTATTTAAAAACATCTTCAAATGGAGGGGTACATCATTGCATCTGATTAAACCTCACTTAACCAAGCCATTGGAGCTTTCCCCTTTTCTCCTTCAGATAGCCTGTGCTGCTGCTTGGCAGAATTTTTTTGCAATCAAAGTCATTGATAAAGATGAACTTGATATTAGGTGCCTTAAGTTATAGCTGGTCGTACTGGACATGATAAGGAGGTGACCATAAATTGGAACCAGAGAAACACAGCTGGCCAGCAAAACCTCAATCTTAATTTTGCCTAAATTACATTTAGTCACATTTAAAGACCACAGACCACCAAGTATTGCAGACTTAAGACCAGATGGATTTCAGCAGTTTTTCACAGGGCAGGCTGTTGTGCAAGGAATTTATAATAATTATTTACTTTTCTGTCTAATTTTCATTTTCAGCTATTATTAAGCAGCTCTCGCAACATTACCAAGTCATTTCTGTATACTTTTGTTCATCCATGGCTAGGAACTGGTAAGGATTTTGCACTCTGTAATTAGTTTTACACACAGTTTATCTTAAATATTGCATTCCCTTGGTTCAAAATGACAGATTCAAATATGCTATACTTTTTAAAACCTTTTTGATACATTTTGTAAATTTAATCTTTTTTTTTCTTCTTTCTTTTTAAAATGATGTTTGTGTTATTCCATACAAGGACTTCTAACAAGGTACTGATTCAGAGCACTTTTCATCTTTTAGCAACTCAAAACAACTCCAGACTGAACAGACATTTTCTCATTATTCAGACTTTCATCCATGAAATTTCTAATGTCTGACTTAGTAGCTTTACTCATTCATTGTGGTGCACAGTGTTTTCCCATTACAGAAGAAATATTGCCAGTCCATAGGGATTGAGATTCTTTTTTCAGTATGTATCCATATTTTTGTGTCTTCTCATGCGCAACAGCCATTTAAACAAAGAAATGAATCATACTCTAGGGAATGACACGTGGTCTGTAATACCATGGAAATTAAAGACATCATTACAACATTCACTCTCATTCTTCCTTCCTTCCTTCCTTCCTTCCTTTTTTCCTTTCTTTCTTCTTTCCTTCCTTCCTTTTTTCTTTCTTTCTTTCTCTCCTCCCCCTTCACATTTGATATATTTATTACTTTATTCATTCTAAAATATTCAGCACTGGCGAAAAATGGAAGAGACGTCGCAGACAAATAACACCAACATTCCACTTCAAAATTCTGAATGTATTTATTCAAGTGTTTGAAGAACAGTCCAAAATTCTTGTTTCTGTTCTGAAGGTGAGGAAAAAGAAGTGCCTTGTCCTAAAATAACAACAACAACAAAAAAGTCTTGTGTATTTTCTTTGGATTCTATCTTTTTTGTAAACTGATACTTGAAAAGTTATGAAGCAAATCGAGGGTGGTGTAGCGGTAGTGTCATTGCCTCATTTTAGGGGTCCCTGGTTCGTTGGACTTAACTTCAACTATACAGCGGCCATCTTGATGGCAAGGCATTATGTTGCGTCCAAGGGGCAAACAAAGCTTTGTTACAGTAATGACGTCGATTGATATTAACAGCTCACCACAAGAGAATCACAAAAAGATACGAATTAAGACGGCTCATCGATCACCTTTATCTATAAAAGAAACACAATCACACGAAACTCTATATAGTTACTGTCGTTTTTGTTTTATTTTGCCCCCTGGCAAGATGGCCGTCGCAGCTTCGAAGCAGTCCATTCAAATGCGAATAGAATTTGTTAGTTCTCTCCTCCATGGTAATTCTAGCATTTTTCCTAATCCAAATGTGATCAGTTAAGTTTGCTGTGCCCTGATTTTGATCAACTTGGGCTGACCCAGGGTTTGTTTCGGGGTTCAATACAATTAGAATCGAATTCACAATTAAATCTTCATCTAACCTAACTTGAGCTGGTTGCTTTGTCAGAAGTACTTATATATGTTAAGTTGTCAATTTTTGGGTTTGGGGCATTTGGTAACAGCTTAAATTAAATCATTTTACTGACGTCTTTTCTGCGCTTAACAGGTAGCAGGCCGTATATATAATATATTTTCAATTGAAGTTTATTCTTCTTTTGTTCAGGATGAATGCGAGAAAGGAAAACTGGACATCTTCCCTAAAATAACAAGATGCGCATTGGACATTATTTGTGGTATGCTGTCTGCTCTGCCTTTATATAGAAGTATAAGCAATACGCTTAGCACAGCGATCCCAAACTTGTGGAATAGAGGCTTTTGCACCATCACGTGATGGCAGCCATGACAGGAGACACAACAACAGAGTCTTTCTCCCCTGGGAAACTGAATTGTTTCTTATGTAAATCAGATTAGACCAGATTCAATTGTTCCCGTCATGGGTGCCATCACGTGATGGTGCAAAAGCCTCTATACTCCTATTTCGAGTTTGCCTTTGCTCAGTCTTAGTCTCGATTGTGCAAAAAAATAATTTCTTTTTCTATATTGAGGCACATTGTATAATAAGGAATGTACGTACTACGGAACAATACGAGTTGATTAAAATGCCACGAGTTTTCAGTTAGTTGAACAGCTGAATATTATAGCACAACCGAGACTAAGAGTGAGCCTGTAACCTTTAGTGCCATTGTTCTTACAGAGTCATCGATGGGTAAGTCAGTCAATGCTCAGATCGAGGGAAACTCTCCTTATGTAAATGCTGTTTTAAGGTACGATCTAGTTTTTCTTTTTCCTTCCTTTCTTTCTTTCATCCCTTCCTTCCTTCCTTCTTTCCTTCCTTCCTTTCCTTCCTTCCTTCCTTCCTTCTTTCCTTCCTTCCTTTCCTTCCTTCCTTCCTTCCTTCCTTTTCCCCCCTTAATATCTGGTTATTTCTTTCTTTCTCTTGTTAATATATAGTTTTCCGGTTGTGAGCGTGTGTAGCGCAAAGTTGAGCGTTCGAGTGAAATAGGAGTCAAATACTACTCTACTGTGAGAGAGCCCTAAAATTGGGACTGATTTGAAAGACTGAATGAATACATGTTAATAAGCGTTTTCAATTTGAACTTTAAATCTATACCTTTAAAAAAACGTTTGCCTTTTTCTTTTTAAGGATGAGCGAGGTACTTCTTCAACGTGCAAAGAGTCCTTGGTTATGGCCTGATTTCGTTTTTCATCTGTCATCCTCTGGACGCATACACAAACATTGTCTCAACATGCTACATGGCTTTACGAATAAGGTACTCTGGACACTAGAGAAAAACGTTTGCGCAATCGTGCATTTCAGCACGTTTTCTAAGAATTTTGATGAGTTTGTGAGTGAGAAAATAAATATTGGACTTGGTGTGTATGGTATATATGATATATAGTATAGGTGTTCTGTAGTGTGTGCTGTGCTCTTAAAAGGAACCTCTATTGCGGAGCATGAGGTAGATATAGATATTTGATTGTATTTGATAAATTTTCAGGTAATTGACGAGCGTCTGTTAGAAAGGAAATCATCAGCAGGACAAGAGGAAAGGGAAGTGGACGAGTTCACTGGGAAGCGTAAGAAACGTCCATTGGCTTTCCTCGATCTGTTACTTGATGCCTTTGATGATGGACAGATCGATAGAGAAGGCATCCGTGAAGAAGTAGACACATTCATGTTTGAGGTATGTTTCTATTTATTAGTTATCCTAAAGTTTGTAAAGTCATCGATTTTCAGTTTCAAGGAAGCAAGATATCGCTTAGTTCCATTAAATACAAGTTATAATACATAATATAAGAATATATGTACGCTCGTAGCATTATGTTTAATGGGCTTCCTGTGGCACACAGAAATATGAAGGTTTTGCAGTACTATACCCGTTGGGTTCCCGACAATAATACTAAAGTGTCTAGCGAATGGTAATAACTTGTTTATGATGGTACTAAAAATAGCCCAATCAGGAATTTGCATGGTGCGCGCGTTATTAAGAAGTTTCAATTCCCTTTCTTATTTATGCTCTTTTGAAAAGTTTTGACACTCCACAAAAGTTCAAATTCTTACTGATGACCCCTTTGAAGCCCCACCCCTCCTAGTAAAAACCGTACCTTCCCATTTTAGTCATAGTTATGAGATACTTTGTTTGGATTTCAGGGCCACGACACCACAGCTGCAGCCATGACATGGGTCATCCTTCTGTTGGGTCAACATCCTGATGTACAGAATAAAGCACAGCAAGAAGTTGACGAATTCTTTGGTATATATATATATATATATTATTTTTTTCCTTGTCCAAATTGCGCTTTTGAAATTCTTAATGGAATAGGTCTTACTTTTCTTTTGTTCGATAAACATAATGCATTCTGGTCCTGCATGTTTGGGCGCAATCCGCATCCGAGAGACAGAAGGTGTCGACATGTTAACCGAGATAAATTAGGTGAAGACTGTTTGTGGCAGTAAATATATTTCACTATTGGAATTTTAAATCATAGATCAAATTATGTTGAAATAAATATTGATTATTAATTATGTCTTCTCAGAATCTCGACCTGAACAGCTTACTGTCGACTCTATGAAGGATCTGAAGTATCTGGAGTGCGTTATTAAGGTATTATTTTGGTATCCATGTGTATATCGGCCAAAAGAATCTCGTAAATCTCATTACCAGCACTGCCCCTCATGTGCTATCGACCAGAGATTATTCTATTGCTTGGGATAAATTTATCAGCTGAATGAATCTCATGAATCTCATTGCCAGCCTACAATGACATGCGCTATGAACCAGAGAGTATTCTAATGCTTGGTATCAATCAGCTGAATGAATCTCCTTACCAACCTACGATAACAGACTACCCGTCATAACCAATTTTACTTAAGCAAATATCGAGTTTCATATTATTTTCCCCCTAGAATATTAATATCAATATTTCGGGTTTTTTTTCCTTTTTTCTTTTTTCTTTTAATTAATGACAGGCATTCATGATTTGGCCTATTCATCTTTTATATCGTTTATTCAAAACCCCATGAATAATTAATAAGCATTTAGACCTATCAGGTCCTTCAAATTCATCAAGTGCATGTATCTTTATACCTGATAATAGTTTAACAAGGGTATCTTTATATATAGATTTGAAATCTTTACCAAAAGAGTACAAGAACATGTCACGAATAGGGACCCTAAATGCTCATTAATTATTCGTTCAATAAACTCGCAGATCGTGTTTTATGAGGTCTAACACCACGAGGCTACACCTCGTGTTTTATACCCGATAAAACACTCCTGCTCATTTATTAAACACTACTTTATGTTGGTTCGACCATAGACCTTACTTTTCTATTTCTTATGTTGTCAAAGGAAAGTCTTCGTTTGTATCCATCTGTTCCATTCTTTGGAAGGAAAATAACCGACGACTTTGTCATTGGTAAGATTTTATAGACCTCATTCCAGGGGCAGATCCAGGAGTTGTAAAATGGTTGTTAAAGAACCTAAGCGTGTAAACGTCATTTAAAACACCTTTATTGATATCCTTTATTCTAATCATTTTAGACGGAGTCGCAATCCCGAAAGGAGAAACAGTCGTAGTGGCTCCCATGGCTTTACATCATAACCCAAATGTCTGGCCAGATCCTGAGCGATTCGACCCAGACAGGTTTTTACCTGAAAATAGCGAAGGTCGTCATCCATACGCTTATGTACCCTTTTCTGCGGGACCTAGAAACTGCATCGGTATGTGTGTGATTTTTTATATTCAATATATTAACAGGACGCGGTCGTCGTGGTTATTTCGTTTTGATATGAAGCCCTCGTGACATGCGCAATAAATGAGCAGAAATGAATTAATCGCTTTCATGAAAGAAAACAGATTCGTATTGAAACTTACGATGTTTTTAATTTTTCATTTAGGGCAACGTTTTGCTCTACTTGAAGAAAAGGTCGTGTTGGCCAACATTCTCCGTCACTTTAACGTAAAGTCCGAGCAATCACGTGATCAAATCAGGGTTTGCGCTGAATTGATTACAAGGCCGCAGGATGGAATCTTTGTTACTCTAACCCCACGTGACAATGTCTGACTCTTCATGCTGTAGACCAACCCCGCTTATGATCCTCTCCCGACCCCCACCCTCTCCCTGTTGCATGGAGTGGCTAGATTTCGCATTTTTCGGATAAGGCTTCTCAGCCAATCGTTTTGGGTAATTCCCGTAACCATGGAATCCATTGTATTCGCCAAGTGACGTCACTGGATGGAGTACCCCTCTGTGGCCTAGTAGCATAATGAAAATTCGCTAAAATTTGCCCACCCAAAAATCATTACGAATTAGAAACTCATAATATATGCCCTTACCTTTACACTAAACACTGACCTATTCATGTCATATATATGTTCAACCATGCATGGAATTTGCCAACAAATGACCCCGTGCTTCTTCATTCAGAGAAACGCCTAGTTTTAGTTTTTGTTAAAAATAACTGTATGACTTTTGTTTAGTTCCTTCCGTATTACTTAGTTAAGTTCAACAAACCAGACAGACAGACAGACAGACAGACAGACGCTAAGGCTCGTGTCAAACGGGAAGACATATGCCTTATTCAATTTCGGCGAAGTGTTTTTTTATTCATCTTCAAAGTATATTAGATACGACTCAAATATAGAATTCCTCATATATCTAAGTGATTATCGGTGGAATATTTATCGAAACGCGAGTCTTCGAGCGGCAAAGTAAATATTCACCATGCATAATCACTGAGCCTGAGGGGAATAATCAATTGCTTAATATAATTTTATAATTTTTTTCCATCTGTATGCTTTGCCTTTCGTCGGCTCGCTCGATCGCTTTGCGACCTCATATTACGCTCGCATATTACGCTCGTTTTCGCAGAGGTCGACTTTGAGCAAATCTATCCCTAACCCCAATTAAGATTGATACCCACCACAATCCTCTTTCAAAATTTCTTTTCATATTCAAATGTCAAAACTACTTTGAGAATGCCCGAAGGCAATAGTGAAAATCTGTTAGCAAAAAAGGATGCTGGGAGTGTAGGTATAAAACGTCATCATGATTGAGGCCAATGCACCTTTTAAAAGCTAGCCGTCACGTGGTATAGATTGTGTTGGATTGTGTTACGGTCACCAAGAAGTTTGGACATTGTTTTCGAATTCCCATACAAATGTACTGACTTTTGAGCAACTTATTTACTTGGCTTGCTTATCTCCNGGACATTGTTTTCGAATTCCCATACAAATGTACTGCCTTCTGAGCTTCTAATTTACTTGGATTGCTTATTTCCCCCCCCCCCCCCCCCCCCCCTTCTAAATAGCAGTAAGAAAAGCTTCAATCAAGTTTAAAAATGACATTTTGCTTATATTTATGCCGTAGCTAACGAGAATCCGACCTTAACACAATCCAATACAATTTATGCCACGCGACGGCTCAAGAGGTAAAATACCTTGAGTAGCCGCGTAATTAGCAATGTTGAACTTGACAAAATACTGTACATGTATGCGTTTCTCCATCCACCATATCTCGTATATTGTATTAGCAAGTAGGTAGTCTTGAGCTCCCTTAATTGTTGTGGAGACTCGCATTTCCTCAAAACTCGATTGCGGAGCATCGATCGTTGCTTCGACAAGATAGCTATCTCCATTTCTTTTCTTTATCAATGCAAGTACTGGTTATTTACTGGGAAAAAAAAAAAGAAAACGATTTAAACCTTTTTGTCAAATCAAATATTTTTAGACAATAAAACCTTCAATCAACTCCTGTCAAAAAGAGTGCATTCAATACAACGTTTACCAAATCGAAAATGATCGCTTTGTTCAGCAATATGCTTTAACACGTAAAAGAATAAAAAAATTCATATGCCATCGTCAGTGCATGTAAAGTTGAATTGATTAATCCATTCAACGTTACACTGATGATAGCAGATGACTTGCCGTAACAATAATCCGAAAAGTTTTTCAGTACTTTAGGTTTTTTTTTTCATTTTTAAAAAGTAGGTATAGGTAAATATTCTAACGTATCCTTAGGACTGGCGTAGTAATGAATGTTTGCTTAAGTAAGATACCTTTGTTCTTTGTTTAATCAGAATTGGTACTAATGGCTTTATCATTGTTTCTGTAATCTATTTTGATTTATTGCCTTGATGATCGACTCATGATCAGTTCTTAATGCCCGCCATCCAACTTCAGGTAAAAAATTGAAAACTTCACTCTTCAACACTTTATCCATTTTGGTTGATGTGAATTCTTGTTGAATATAGTGAATTGGATTCAATTGGACAACTTCAAGGTTTGACTGATCTTGTCTAGTTATCTAGAATATTGACTGAATTCAGGTGCTGCAATCGACAAAGTTACGCGATTCTGATTGACAAAAGGAGTACAACAAAATCCAAAATTGTACTCTGTAGAGTCCCAATTAAGTTGCTCAGTTTTGTTGAATGTATTATAAACAAAAATTCGCACAATCTTCTCGTACAATTCTGACTTCATAGATACTCGTGATGTTTTGAAAGTTCTTATTAGACTCTCGCCTAAAGGCCCGTCCAATTTCGAAAACTTTCAAAACAGCATTCGTACCTATAAATTCCGAATTGTACTCGAAATCGCGCGATTTCCTATACAAATATTACACCGGTTTCCACACAAAACACGGTGTTACCTTGTTTTTTTTTTTTTTTTTTTTTTTTTTTTTTTTTTGTTTGTTTGTTGTTTTTTTTTGTTTTTTTTTGTTTTTTTTTATATTTTGAATCCCAAATTTTCAAACATGGCTTTTGCCCCGAAGGAGCTGAGCTTTAGTTGCTTTATTTGATGCTACTCAAAAAAGATTGCCGGGTTCTAATTTAGTTTTCTCTTTCAAAATTATACTGAAAAAGGATGTACTTCCCTTTGGCTATCTCTTTATCATCATTTAAAAATAATAAATAAATCACTTCTATTGTGTGTTGTCGTTCAAGCGCTTTCGGCACTTATTGGGGCGCATTTCGCTCACACGCATGGGTTGCATGGGTACCCATATCATAGCAACAGAGGATTTAGCACCAGATGCCTTCAACCACGATATTTAACAAGATATGAGTGTTACAGCAAACCTACGATAAGGAAGCCGAAGCCCTTGAGCAATGAACACTTATAAAAGTCAATAGCGACGAAACCAAGCTAGTTATTAGAAGTGATCTGTTCATGTGTTATGAAGGGCAATTAGCCAACTGTTTTATTGGGTTTTATAGTTGGAGTGTAAGCTGTGAGTGGTTTCCATGATTGGATCTATTAGCACAAGTCACTGCTGAGATGCACAGAACATCTTCCTTTGTAGGTATATAAGGCTATTTCAAAAGACGCTGTTGAAGGCTTTGTTACGGCATGTTGCTAACTCAAGCTAAACTATGGGAGATCTTCAATTGCTTTTTTACTTCTTTTTTTCATTTTTCTTTCGTGCTGATATATGAATATTATTTACATATGAATATAACAACAAGCAAAAAAAAAAGCCTTCACCACTCTTTTTTTGAAATAATGTATTTTGGTTTTATTTCTAGATGTTCATTTGTGTTTGTGTCCCAAGTATCTTGTAATGTGAGTTGAGTGACGAGTTTGTACTCGCCGCTCTCAGTATGATTTCCCAGAAAAAATCCTTCTGGAACTCAAGGTATTAATATGGCATGGCGGCTTTATAAAGGGTAAAACGCGACCTATGGCAGATTTTAGGAAACAGTATAAGATATTGCTCATTTTCATAACTACTTTTGATGGTATTAGAAATTTGAAATATAATTAGAACAAATGTTTAAGTTTATAGTTGCAGTCACACACACACACACAAAATAATAACATTAAAACCGATCGAATAATCAGAAGAGAGAGAGAGAGAGAGAGAGAGAGAGAGAGAGAGAGAGAGAGAGAGAGAGAGAGAAAAGAAAAGTTCGTGTAATCGAATAATCAGAAGTAGTCCATTCCTATCATTTTCATTTCGAAAGCGAACGAACGTCTTATTCTGAAAAATTGATCCTCCACTCATTTGTTCATTTATTCTTCATTATAGCGTGTACTAAGAAATAGCAAAGAAATAGACCCTAACCCCAAATGTCGTTTCATACCTAAACTACTGATCACAACCTTTTTCAACATCTTTTTTCATAATTCAAATGTAAAAACTCATCTGAGAAAATTATCATAGCTGGGAAGCTACCAGAAAGTATTCTGGAAGTGTAGGTATAAAATGTCACCAGACTCTTTTGAAATATTAAAACTGCTTTGACAATACCACTACGATGGTAAAAATTAGCATAATGAAAATGCTATCGTTCTAGATTCTAGAAGTGTAGGTATAAAACGTCACCATACTCTTATTCAAATATTAGAACTCCTTTGAGAATACCGCTGCAATAGTGAAAATTACCGTAACAAAAATGCTACCGTTCTAGATTCAGGAAGTGTAGGTATAAAACGTCATCATACTTCAGGTCTATCAGTTTCTTTGTTGTTGTCAATTTTTAATAAATTTAATATATACTTTTTAATTTCTTTTTATTTTCTGTTTGTCTTATATTTATTTTACTGACAGTTGTTTGTTTTCAATTCACTGAGTTTGGTTAGTTTTTCCCCTCTTGTCTCAAACCTTTCAAACTTAATTCGGGTATGTTTTATTTTTCATCACGTTCATGGACCTCACGATTAATTTCCAAAACTTCAGTAAACAGCATAGTTAATTGCCTTTTGGTTCATGTACTAATTAATCCTTCAAACTCATTAAAAAGCTTTTTCATCAGCCGAATCTTATCCTTAATTCTGGTTGATTGATTACAGTCTGGCATGTGCCGACTTTAAAATCAACATTTGTAAGGTTGAATAGAGAGGATGGCAGCATGACATCTAGCTAATTTAGCCTATATCCGGGTTTCCAAGTTGAACATTATTGGTTGCAGTCCTTAATAACCTCTTTATTTGCTGAGTGTTCATCGAATCGAACTTGATGAAAAAACTTTATCTTGGTTCAGTATTATTGCCTTTAGACAAATAGGAAAATGCTTCTTTGTTGCAAGGAAGGAGCAGTTCCTTTAAGACTATTTTTCTGCAGCCTCTGAACTAAGAATTCCAACTGTGTGTTTTCTTTAGATTCATTTAAGCAAATTCAAGCATAAATCGTAGCTCCATTGGGTCGATCTATTTGACTTAACTAAGTGTATCAGGATCTAAAGTAATAAGGATCGAATTCGAACAAGAATTTGATCGATGGTAAGTGCAAATGAAATCCATGTGTAACTTGCCCTATTTCATTGATCTTAGGATGCGATTTCAATGGTTCCATGACTCAGTACCGTAACTCGTTAAAACTTGTAATTTATTTTTAAAGCGTATTCGTTGCCGGTCTTTATCTAGTCTGACAAAACATTTTATTACACTATTCAAATCAGTTACCTTTAATACTTTAGGGCACGTTCTTCTCACGAAATATTCAATTGCTTTAAGTTACTGTTACGTGGTTGTAAGTAATGGCTAGTGCGCGCTGTGTCGTCTAAGGCCCTGGCTAAAAGAGGAAGCAAGTTTCCAGAAACATGTTTCCCGCGCGCATGTTCCCCGATGATTCCAAGTTTAGCCACATGCGAAATATTGCTGCGTGCAACAAATTTTGCTTCCAAGACGCAAAAGTGTTTCTGCTGTGCGGCAGAAACATTTCATGCTTCCAAGACGCATGGAAACAATGTTTCCCAATGTTTCCTCGTTTAGCCACGAAAGTCAACTTTCTAAAAGTTCGTTTCTTACCAACGCTAGCTCTATCTTCAAAGTGCGCATGCGCTACCCGATATTGAGTAAACATGCTTCCCGATGTTCCCTGACAGTTTGCGCAACTTTTAAATAAAGAAATAATACTCTAGCGAATAACACACAGTTTGCGCAACTGTTAAATAAAGAAATAATACTCTAACGAATAACACACGATCTGAAAAGGGAAAACATTACGCCTTAGGTAAAATGGTCTATTCGGAAAGGCAAACACTAAACACTGCGCTGTTTCGTTAATGCTTGGTAAAGTATCGAGCAGTATTATCTGCCTGCTCGAATTAGCCAATCAGCGAACATTTTGTTCGTAAGCTCAATATTTCCTAGTTCAAGGTTTTTCGGTTCAATAAACAACATTTGTTTACTCAACATTAAAGAAAATAAGACTAATCCGTGGAAAGATACAACAGATATCTTTTAGAAAAGCATAATCCTTCGTAGTTGGTGGAAAATACTTCTTTTTACGAGACATGATAGAAAATACTTGAAAATTTTCGCTGCGACAAATAATGCAATGCGCGCCTAATTTCTAGATCACCTGGGCCCGGTTGTATGAAGGGTGGATAGCGCTATCCGATAGATAAATCTTATCCAGTGAATAAATTTATTGGATAACAGCTTCGATTTGTCCACTGGATAAGGATTTATCTGTCGGATAGCGATATCCACGCTTCGTACGACCGGGCCCTGGTTCGACTATACAAGGGAACAAAATCTCCAACACTAATTAACATTAACGATATTCTGATCTCGAGCTAGAGCTCCCGAGTCATGAGCGGGTTGTTCGCATGCACTCCAGAAATACACTCATTGTCCTGTCCGTATCCCTCCGGTAAGCCAACTTATTATAAAAAATTCATGCTGAGGCCTACACCTACGAAGAATAAGAATTTATAGGTGATCGTTTAATGACGAAATTTATTTTGGTTAACGCTTATTGTTATTTAAATTACCAGCAACAAATCTATTGGACAAACGGATAAAACAGAGCGACACAACCTATTGTTAAAATAGTTGGGCCATTAACATTACAACAGTAATTTCTATAAACATTGAACCACTTATTATTTGGATCTGCACCTGTACTCGTAGGGCATTAACAATTTCACACCTTTGAACACAAGTCAGGTCTATCATAATTGAACTATAAATTGAATGCTTATGTACTAATTATGGATTTCTCGTGAAGATCTGCTGCTAAGGAGAAGTAAAGGATTGAGTGTACCCGACTAAAAGAGCTGTAAGGGATTAATTTATATATTTATTTAACAATCATTCGCCGAAGACGAAGTGAATATCGGGGAATAATAACCGAAACGACGTTGTAGGTTATTATTCCCGATATTCACTGAGCCTGAGGTGAAAAAAACACAGGTGATTCTTTCAAAAGGAGGGAAAAAAAGAAGATAAAAGACACATTTTTTCCCGGTAACAGCAACAAAGCGGTTGGCCGCCATTTTGGATTATCGCTGGAGGGGATTATCGTGTGATAATCTGAGTTTCAATGAATGTAACAACAACCAACAAGGAACTATTTGATTTAAATATAAATTGTTGCCGAAATAACATTGAATACCAAATAATTAGGATTTAAAAAAAGTTTCACACAAACTTGCTCCTCGTTTAATACTTTTTAAAATTTTTTCAGCAAAAATTACACTGAAACATATATGTATCCGATAAATGTCAGAATTTTTGAGACTTGGTGTACGTATATATTTAACCTGCCAATTAGAGGGCGAGAAGTCTATTTTTTTTAGTATAAACTTAATAATTGGTCAAATAAATGAATAGGTGGGCGTACGATGACGTCATTTGTTTTGATCAAGAACATGAAGTTCTTGGAAATTCAAGCAATAAACAAACAAATGTTAAAAGTGGCAAGATCCTATCGCTTTGGAAGATATCTGAGAATTTGAAGACAAATCTCTTGATATTTTTCAAATTAACGTTGTGAAATTTGACAGTAAATGTATGTTGGTTGGCAATTTAGCAACTTTAATTTATTATATCTCCTCGGAACTAATGAAGCAACTGCTCTCAAATTGATAAATATGAACAACAGTTATTACTTCTTTATATTTCTTAAGTCCAATCGTTTATGGCTCAAAAGTTGATTTTTGGAAATGTAAACAGTACACCCACCTATAAAAACAATGTTACAATTTTGCTGAAATAATTTAGTTTTTAATTAAAAGTGGTCTGTCACTAATAGACCACTGGTATCTCAGCCAATCAGAGCGCAGGATTTGGATAGACCATTATTGGCTTTATTTAACAATTATTAAGTGAATATCGGGGAATATTTACCGAGACGCGAGTCTTCGAGCAAGATTTTCAATAATCACCTGTGTATTTTTACTAAACTAAATATATTTGTCAGCTTTTTTTAGCAATAACTTATTCAATATCTTAATATCAAATGTTAAAAAAAGATTTTGAGATGACTAATCAGTGGAGTAACCTAATTATAACAGTTATACTAATAATAGCGGAGCTCCCGCGCGGAGCACCATACTTAAGAAAACCATCGTGTTGATTTTTCATGGCTTGGCTGACGTCACTTCCGTCCGTACGTCCGTCCGTCCGTCCGGATACACGACACAGGAATCCCGCTTGATATCAAAGCAAAACTACTTACAAATGCGGCTCTCAAATGCACAGAAAAAATCGCTTTAGGACAAGTTATAGACCAAAAACAATTAAAAAAATGTAGTCAAAGATGGATCAAGAAGTGTTCTTCAAGAATTCAGGTGTGTGTTTTTTTAACAAACAATCAGTCGTATATATATATATATATTTTTACAAGCATTTTTCTCGACGAAACGACAAATCAAGGACTTTCTCTCAAAAATTTTTATATTCTATAGATAAGCTTAATTTATTTTAATGCTGGAGGAAATATAACACTTTAACAATTCCGTTGTTTTTAACCAACTATCGTATGTTTTTCGTTCAAGAAAAATGCAGCTTTGTTCGCCTCCTATCGCGGGGTCTCATCGGCAAAACAATGAAGACTTTCATTCAAGAATTTTATATATTTCTACAGATAATTTATTTAATTATTGAATGAATCATAAATTTTTATCAAACATTCAACTGTTTATTAAGCTGTTCGATCAAGTATGGTTATAAAAATGAGCTTAAATTTGTGTTGTTGAGAGATGTTATTGTATAAAGACCTAGATTTTCACTTTCAAAAGCTAGAAAATATTCAAAAATATTTACAAACGCGATTTACTGACAAAGAATTTAGTCATTTTGTATTTTGCATTGCCTTTTTCATTATTTTCTATTTTGTCTCAGTTGTTCTTGTCAAGTTTAAATGAATGTAAGCTTTGTTTTTGGAAAACTGTAAAAGACCTAATTAAGAAAACCTTATTTTTTGCTCACCTTGACCAGTTTTCAAGTCTGTTTTTTGGTCTTGATTTGTCCTAAATCTCCAGATTTTCGATTTCCATGAAAGACATCCGAGGTAAATTYCACTAAACTTGATATTGTATTGGATTATCTATAGTTATCTTTCGTTTTTGTTTTTTTTAAGTAAAAGAGATTCAAAGCCGGAAAACTGTCGGCCTTGGAAAACTTTGTCGAAGAATCTTCAAAGAACAAAACTAGCCCCTGAGGGTGGTGGTGAGTTGTGTACAAAATGTGGGAGTGTATACTGGCGCAAAGAAAACAATGTAATGCATTTCGATTCGAATTCACTGCATGGTTTTTATAATGGGAGAAAGTATCTTCATCTCGAATAAAAAATAATTGAAGATTTTTTCCCGATCTTAGTATTTTTACCTTTCAGCTTCATTCAAATTGTTCTCCCTGCGACTTCCGTAGGCGGGAGCTCCGCTTTTAGGCAGTGCATAAATATATATATTGTTTTCATAATATGGGCTGTTTACAGTCAGGATTCATTGGTCTATATCACAAAAGTATTGTCTCTGACTTGAAATCTAAAATCAACAGACTATTGGCTAATTATTTCTTTCTTTCTGTAAAGAAAGCTTAAAAAACTAATAATAATTGGAGCCATAATAAGTAAATGTTTAATTTATCAGTTAATTGTATTTTTATTATTATTTATATTATTAACGTCATGTGATCTTCACTAACTGTGACTCGCTTTTTTGAATAACTTACTTTGTAGAAAGCTCTTAGCAACGAAGATGTCCGAAATTGGCGGCTCTTTAAGACCGTGGCTTATGGTCGTTTTAAGTCTCTATTTGGCATCTACGATTGGTAAGTTGGATTCAAACGAATGATTTAATAAGTGAGAATCATTTCATTCTTCATCGTTTCTTTTTTCCTCTTTCAATGAATACATCATTCATGTCATTCGTTTCGTTCGCGACTGCAAAACGTTTTTGATCAATAACCCGTACGTCGTTTTTTATTACATAAGCATTTTCGCTACTTCTTAATGATAACAATTCATATTATATTTATATATTGTTAGTTTTCTATATCATTTTCTTCTTATATCTCTATTTTGCAGAGATGTAAATGTGTGTTTTGCTGGCAAAAAAGTCTTACTTTCCTTTTTATTTATTTATGTGCTTAAGTACGTATAATTATCCTCTGTCTTCAATTAATTACCAAAAGTACTGAAGCAGTATTTAAATTGCTAGATTAGTCGTTTGAGTATAAATCAATTCCTACCGATATCAGCCGGTATATTAGTTAATATAACCTTAGCCCTGGCTTAGCTCTTTTCAAACTTCTATTAAATGAAGTGGCTTTAAGTTGTTAAAAATCTACCAATATCAACAATCAATTTTATCGAATCCTGAAGCAGTCGTTTGGCTTCTCGAAGAGCACGGCTAACTCAAAAGGTTGAATGGTAATTTCGCATTTTTGGTTGTACAGAAAACTTTCGAAACATCGAAACGCTACAGGCTTTGTTTCCTGGCTAGTTCCTTTTACCTCGCCGCCGCTCACTTGCACCTGTTTTAATACGGCGCTTCAAAATTTTTTCATGTGTCAAAAAAATCCATTGATTGATCATTCAGTAACATTAAAATGAAGCTGCTAACGAGCGCATTGATATATATATTTTTTCCTATATATTTCTCCTGCTACATTAAAAAACAACAACAAAAAAACAAAAAAAAACAACACAAGATCTCAAATATTGTGCACGTATATGACAACAAGGACTGATTTAACTCTGATTTCACTAAAAACCTCCTRTTTCCTTAGTTTCCTTCTCTAATCTCTTTACTTATCTTTCCTTTTTCCTTCCCTCTTATTTTCTGGGATCAGAGTGAGGTTTTTTTATAGTTATCCTAATATTGTGAAAATATCTCTTTTGTTTGACAACAAGGACTGATTTAACTCTGATTTCACTAAAAACCTCCTATTTCCTTAGTTTCCTTCYCTAATCTCTTTACTTATCTTTCTTTTTTCCTTCCCTCTTATTTTCTGGGGTCAGAGCGAAATATTTTTAATAGTTATCCTAATATTGTGAAAATAATTCTGACTTTTGTTGTTTTTTTTTTACTTTATTTTTTTGATAAGATAAATAAGCAAAAAAGTAAATAAGTAAAGCTTTTGCAACTTATTAGATTTCTTTATTAATTTAAGTAAATTGGCCTATTTTGCATGTTCAAACCGATTAGGAAGAAATAAACTAAATCATTAATTTCCCTGCATGCACGTTTGCACACTCTTTTCAGAATTATTCAATATTCTCTGTTTGTTAAGGCTTAGATCATTCCAGAGTGCGTTCAGGGTCCAATCTGTGCGTTAGCCCTGCTCAGACTTAGCACAGAGGTTATTTAAGCGTTGGGTCGTTCAAAGGGTTTGATATGAAGTCCAGTTAGTTGAATACAAATCATACTCTATCCTCTAACCTGGTTTTTTTATACACATATTTTTCCAGATTTTACCAATAAGTTGTTGTTTTTCGAACACTCTTTTTTCCTTTTATTTCTTCTCTTGTTGCTTTATCGCTTCTGGTATAGCATTTTTGACATTTCCTTTCCTTTAGTTCTTTACGCTTCTGTAATTGCAAAGCGTTTCTATTTGCATTTCCACGATGAAGTTTGTAAAAAATCACAAACAAAACACTTTGGAGAAAGAAAAAGGTGGAAGCCTTTTTTTACCTTTTCTTTTCTTTCCTTTCCTTTAATTTTTCTTAGAAGATTAGGTTTTAAAAACTTTTTTCAGGACATTGGTATATACTAATATATGTTTTCTAATTTAGTAAATATTCTTTCTATCCTTGTAAAGCGCCTTAATTAGAGCCTTGAGAAGGGCTATAGAAATAATACGGAGTATACCAGTGAAAATTAGAGATCACCAGATAAGCAAAATTATCGTAACCTTTGGATCTTTAGATGTATAGATGTAAAATAAGGAATTTCATAATAATTGAGAAGAAGCGAAGAAGACGGCTGCACTTCCTTGCTAATTCATTTCTGAAGACTGAATCCTTTTCACATCTGTCTGCAAGGTGATTATATGTGTACAAGCATAATTTGTGGACTTCCGTTCCGTTTATTAAGCAAAGACGCTAATTTTTTCCCCTTTCTTCGCAATCAGAACGGAAACATTTAGAAGTAGCAAGTTCAAGTGTTCAACTTGAGTGAATTGTAAATTATTAGAATTAATTGCGCAGTTTTAAATACCCTGAAAAGAACAGATTTAAATTCCATATGGCAGTGAATCAGTGACGCGTCGTCATAGTGATTTATGTAACTATGGTTTTTCGACTGATAATATTATTATTTTCCATGCAATTAAGAGGAAATTTTTTCAATAACGAGCAATAATGGTAAAAAGCGCCAAAAACTAGACTTTCGTATGAGTTTTGATCCCAATTTTCGTTTTGGGTTAACACACAAAACCTTTTTTAAACAGTTAGAAACTGATGTACTATGATAAAATGCCTGTTTGAAGCGGTATTTTCAATTGAACGAAGATGTTTTGTTACATTTGTTTTAGAATGTTGCTTTGTCAGGCTTTTTTTGAGGTCTAAACTTCATTGTCGAATAAAATTTTTGCTCTGGGTTAGCACTGTGATTCCACTTTCATCGGTCATCTCCACTTCCAAACGAGTTAAACTTTCTGAATAACAAGATTTTAGCGTGGTACAACAGCCTTGCTTCAAGAAAATAGTTTTTGGCGCTCACTGCTTGAATACGAAGAGAATTATCTCTTAAAGCTTTTATTTGCAATGTTTGTTCGGATTTTGATCCCACAAGGCTTTGCGATATCTTTTTTTTGGTAACCATGAAAAATGCTAACAAGTATCTTCAATTCGACTCTGGTCTGTTCTGCTCTCTTATTCTTCTTTCTTCTGATTGTTTTTCCTCTCTTTTCTCATGCCTGTTTGTATTCTCCACTTTATTTTTATGAATGGATGAATAACCTTTATTTGACCACGTTCATAACATCAACGTAATAACACTGCTTTTCACTAAGGCCGTAAAATAAAAATCTATGCCATACAAAAATAAAAGGAGAGAGAGAGAGAGAGAGAGAGAGAGAGAGAGAGAGAGAGAGAGAGGTAGAATGGCACTAACGACTTCACCTTTTGTTCTAGTGTTCTGCGCATGCCCACCAGACTGGCAAGAAATAAACAACTCGTGTTTCAAGGTTTACAATGTCATGAAAAAATGGAGCGAAGCCAGTAAAGAGTGTTCCTTAGCAAAACAAGGGGCTCATCTTATTTACTTCGACAACGGACGCCCACTGACTTTTGTAAACTCTCTTAATGACATGGAGCACGAAGAATACTTTGTTGGAGCAAAGACGAATAGTCTGGGACTATTGGTTTGGGGGAATGGTGCTGAGGTATCAATATCTTCTTTATTGGGTGCTGTAGGTGGTAATAAATATCTTCTCTTCAAGAAATGGGATCTCACATGGGCCGCTACCGATGAAAACCATGAAAGTTATTTCATTTGTGAGCTAAATGAAACTCCTACTCCAGGTAAGAAACTAACTGCTTTATTTTTTATAAAACCATAACGTGCCACATGAAATGGCTTAAACTGAATTATCAGATGAAATTTTCGTAGTATGACAATACATTAGTAGTGGAAGCCAATTAGATCTGGAATTTCGTTGTATACGCTCCATAATACTTTGAGAATATTATGTAGCTGAGGTCTTTCTTTTTTTCTTCAGGTAGTTCTTCTGTGATATCAAATTCAATAGTACCCTCATCGTCATCACCATCTTTTTTATCATCATCATCATCATCACCAACATCATCATCATCATCATCACCATTGCTGCCATCTAAATTATCGGTATCATCATCACCATCTCCATCGTCATCAACGACATCATCATCAACAACATCAGCATTAGCATCATCATCATCATCATCATCAACGACATCACCATCATCATCACCATCACTATTGCTGCCATCTTCATCGATATCATCATCACCATCTCCATCGTCATCAACGACATCATCATCAACAACTTTGGCATTAGCATCATCATCATCATCATCAACGACACCACCATCATCATCATCATCAACAACAACATCGTCACCATCATCATCATCATCAACATCGTCACCATCATTAATATTACCATCACAAGGATCTTTACCATCATTATTACCAAAGAAAACATTTTCGCCATCATCACAGTTTCCATCAGTACCTTTATTGACAACACCAATGTCTTCGCCTCCTATAAGCCCGGAAGGAAGTGAAAGCAACCAAAGCCAACCATTGGACAACAATCTGGTAATGATATGCAACGACATTCAATAACAACATAATTATAGAGTACTAGGGAAAAATAAATGTGTGATTTAGCAACTACAATTCGCCATGCATTTTCCATACATTGGTTCACTGGTAGAACGCAAAGCGCTCAAGCTAGGCGCCAAGGTACTCAAAGGATTATTCAAATTTGAACCTTGCAACCTCGACTGAATGCTTTGTGTTTGACCAGTGAACCGATGTATGGAAAATGTTGACTAACAGAAGCTGCGACCAAACGAATTTAGATAGCAACATCAAAAACAAACACCAACCACACGTCATCATCATCACCAGCAATGACTGTAACAAAAGAACAATAATAACAACAACAACACCATACCAGCAGCAACAACCGCGACAACAACAGCAACAACAATATCAACAAAAGAAGCAACGACAGCAGCAACAACAACAACAGCAGCCACAAAAACAATAACAGCATCAGAACAACACCAGCAGCAACAATAGCAGCAGCAGGAGCAACAAAAATTACAACAAGAGTAGAAATAGCTGCAAGAAAAACAGCGTAGCAACAACAGCAACATCTTGAGTAACAGTAACAACAACAACAACAACAACAATAACGACAACAAGAGCAGCAACAACAGTCTTTTTCAAGGCTATACTCACCTGGACGATCACATTTCACACCAAACTTCAACACCTGGGTCCAAAACATTTACTCTTATGCCTGTTAGAATTAGAAGAAAATGTTAATAACTGAGCTTTGCGATCGCTATAAGTTTTATTTTATTTATACTCTTCATTCTGACATCAAATATAACAATAAATAGTCCTAGAAAGAACTTTCCCAATAAACAAAGAAATAATACTCATAGGAAAGCCACAAGCTGTACAATGGAAAATATTACACCATAGCAAGAGAATATGAACTAAGAGAAGGAATCCTACCTATATAGCCTTGTAACCACCATGTGCACAGTTTGATGCTATTTTTAGCTTGGAGATATTTTGAGCGAAGAACCTGATTGGTTGATTTCTTGAGGGTAGGCGGCTTCCAGTCTTGCAGTAAACAAAAGCCTAAGTTTTTGACGTGGACGTAGCGAAATATGGCGCTTTTCGTGTCCTTAAACGAGGCATTAAAGGGTAGCATGATTATCGCGCGGGTATGGTAACGAGTTAAAAATAGCATCAATGATTCTAAAAATAGCATCAAAGTGTGCACATGATGGGGCACGGGGATTCCTTCTCTTAGTTCATTTTCCCTTGACCATAGCTAAAGGGAATAATAACGCTATCTTGCGTACTGGGTCTGTGAGTCAGCATATTCACATATTTACTACAGTCTAACACGTTCCATCTTTCTTCAGGTATCGATCTACATTCAAAAGATTGCCAAACTTGATATAAAGCAAAATTCTTCATTGGAAGTAAGTCTGGTCTAAACACAGGGGCCGAAAGAATACGATTGGAAACGATCCAATTTTTTTGGAATTAAAGAAAATTTGAAATAATATAATTATTGCTTATATGGGGTTATAGAGTGATGATACAATTAAATGAATTAGTGCATAGCTGCTACCCCGCATTTCAACCCTCTTATGATGAGAAAATGTAATGAATTTTTTAGTTTATAAAGAACATATGAACTTTCAAGGCGCGAAAATCAAAACACTGAGTTTGAATTACTCTCACATGATTTGAAGGAATCTGTAGACATGATGCAAAACATACTTGTTGCCATGGGAACATCTTCAACTAATTCCACCAATCAGATGCCTCTACTTGCAAGTCAAAAATTGGAAGAATTTGCGTTACGATACTTGGAATATAATTCGAACAAGAAAGAAATAGTCATCAAGAAAAGCAATGTTGGTAAGTCATTTATCTGAATTATGTTTTAAGAATTGGGTAATAGATTTTAGGTTTTAATTATTTAACATTAGTATTTTTACACACGTGAATATCATAAATACGGCGCGCTCATTGGTCACAATTTACGTCCTATTCTGCTATATATTTGCCTACAGGTGAATAGTGCAGTATTCGTATGACTGTGAAAAGCTCACGGCACGAACACGGTCATGACACAGCAAGGGATACGCCAGACCAATCACATTGCACGAGAAAAAATCATCCAATTAAAATTCTAGAAATCATCACGGTCACGGCACGTCACGCTTACGGCACTGAGCTTTTCACAGTCATACGAAAACTGCACTATTCACCTGTAGGCAAATATATAGCAGAATAGGACGTAAATTGTGACCAATGAGCGCGCCGTATTTTTTTGTCGATTTGTGCCGCTTGCAGAGATGATTAAAATTTGAAGGAAAAAAAAAAAAAAAACTCTCTCTCCCTTATTTATTATATTCACTTATGTTAAAAATACTAAAATAATTCTTTTAAATAGTCCCCTTCACAGTTCCCTGCGCCATCTTGAAAAGTTACCGTGCCTTTGCATCGAATGTGAATATTTGTTCGTGTTAAAAAAAGGGTCTCTATCATTGCAAGCTTACCTTTCGTCTCGCTACGATGCAAAGGCGCGGCTACCTTTCAAGATGACGCAGAGTATTGTGAAAGGGACTATTAGATCCGCAGCCCAAATGGTCTACGAGTCAATAACGAGTCAGGGATCTAATTGTTTTAGAATATATCTAGTATTAAGCCAAATAAATGGATACAAAAAATATGACAGGGGCGGCGGAACCGGGGGGGAGGGGGGGGGGACGTGCCCCCCTCCAAATATTTCGGGGGGGATTGGCCACCTCAAAAAATATTGGTTCTTAGTCATTGTTTTACGGCGCATGCGTCTGCAATCAAACAAAACATTGTCATTATCACATAACGCTAAATATAATCTTCTGTGTTGCTCCCCGCCCCCAAAGATTTTTAGCTTCCGCCACCTCTGTATGAAAAAAGATTGAAATAATTTATTTTGGGTTGTTTTGGTTTTTCAATACCGGCACTTTTAGACACTAGGACTATTAGTGGTATATCGCTATTAGACTGCTAGTAGCTCAGCCAATCAGCGCGCAGGATTTGTGATAGACCGAACGTAGGTTTATAGTAATAATTCATATTGCTTTAATAATTATGTAATTGTTTTTATTTATCGTTTATTTTCCAGTCCTACACGCAAAGATAGTCTTGCCAGGAACCACTTCCTACGAGTTCGAGACAGACGATGGTATACAGGAGCAGAACACCAAGATTTTCCTACCGAAAGAAAACTTCGTTGAAAATGGTATCTCTTAAAACACTGAATCATTTTGATAAATTCATGGAACCAGGATATTATAAAAGGGGCTTGTACCATATAATAGACCGTATGGGGTTACATATGCCATGCCGCTATTGCCGGACTGAATAGCTAGTTTTTAAAAAACGAAAGCACAGCCATTAGAAAGAGCAAGCCTTTTTTAAACTTCCCTTTACCCGTCAATGAAAATCATTTGGAAGCAGAATTACAAAGAATTGTACGTGTTCAGCAATCTGATTCCTGGTTGACTAGTGTCGTATGGGTCTAATATTTGATATTATCATAGCTTTTGAAGGATTTAATATTTCTGCATGAACCCTGCTCAATTATTTAAATGTAGTATATTTATGAACTACTCTATTCGTTTTCCAGGAACGGCTGTTTTAAGTATTTATTATAACAACCTTGAAGATATCTTAAACAAACAGGAATATATCTACACGAGTAACAAGTACGTATACATTGAGTTCATGTCAATTATTTTACGATAGTCCTCTTCACAGTTCCCTGCGCCATCTTGAAAGGTAGCCGTGGGGGCTTTGCATCGAAGCGAGACGAACGGTGAGCTTGTAATGATAGAGACCTTTTTTTAACACCTTGGACAGTTATTCACAGGTCCCTAACATTGCAAGCTCACCGATCGTCTCGCTTCGATGCAAAGGCACGGCTACCTTTCAAGATGGCACAGGGAACTGTGAAGGGGACTATTGCAAATATTCTGATTGTCAACCCAAACTGTAAGTCAAATGAAATCAACATGTGAGTTGAGCGTTGTGTGCAGAGAATATTGAATTAAGTGGTATAGTGCGTGTGAGCGAAAAGTGTTATCAATTAGTGCGAAATCGCTAGAACACGACTATTAAAAAAATGTTATTTTCAGATATGGAGTGAGGTCCAAGATATTATCAACCTCCATTCAGCCAAAGAAAAACAAGTTGGTTAAGAACGCGACAATTGGATTTAAGGTTAGTCTGAAAGTTATAGTCTTAGAAAAAGGAATATAATTGTTTTAATGGGTTATTTTTCTCTTTGCAATTCTTTTTTTTTTTTTTTTCGTATCCTTTAAAAAATCCATCATGTTAAAATTTGAGAAGACATCGATTTTTATTTGAACCCCACTGAGCATGTGCGTGGAAATATATAACGCGAATTTAGGCATCCCACATGGAAAGGAGTGACTAATGGAGTATAGTACTCAGTGATAAAAACGAAATGTCAGGGCTGCTGGTCATAGCAAGGGGTTAATCATCTACGGTCTAGGGGCCGACTAACCTCTCCCTTAGGCTTCGGCCGAGCTTCCTGATCAGTCTGTAATTCCTCCCGGGGATAGCGGTGTCGGGGTCGAAATCTCTGCCATAGCCGTAAATGCTTCGCGCTGCCATACGACGCTTCAGCATTCGGGTCTGGGAGTATGGTCTCCGGTTATTTTTGATCAATAGATAAGCTAAAATAATCCTAAACAAATCTTTCCAGCAGAGAGAACTCTGAAAAACCAATCAAAAAGAATTTAAACCCGCATGCGCAGTAGCTTGTTTCTGATCAAAATTTAATAATAATTGTTCAGCATATAAAAATCAGAGATATTTTAAAATGTTTACTTATTTATAATAGATCCCTGTTTCTGACCCAATACCTGAAAAGAAATGCGTCTTTTGGGAGTTTGCAACAGAGTAAGTACATGTTTTTGAGACTGAAAAAAAAAGTTTATGTTATACTATATTGGTATAGTAAAATTATATTTGCCTCTTCCGAGAAAACTTATGAAAGCTTTAAAAAAAATCATTGGATCAAATCTCTCAAAGAAAACCTATTAAGATTTCCTGTTGATCTGAGGAAAAATACTAGCCAATCGAAATCAAGAAAATTTGCAAAACTGAATTGTCACTTTCCCATAGATTTCAAGGCCACCGACGAAAGAAAAAAAAAAAAAAAACGTTTCTAAGAAATGGTTGAGAACCGTGACACGATTATTAATGAGATTTATATTTTTTATTGCAATGGTGAGTGATGTTTATATTTTTTTTGCTGGTAAGTTTTCTCAGGCTTCATGTCACCTAAGTTTTGCAGTGACGTCATTTGTACGTCAATATTTCAGATCACGCGGTTGACACATTGATGTTTCTGTACCTTTGTAGAAAAGTCAAAGATCCCGGATGGTCAAGCGAGGGTTGTACGTTAGTGAAGTCTACAGACCAATATGTAGAGTGTTCATGTAATCACCTGACACACTTTGCTGTACTCATGCAAGTCAAGGATGATCAGGTAAGATAACTGTACTATCACGTGATCACTAGACGTCAGTCAAGTCTACATCTTTCTGCCTTTACCTTAACCAGCTTTCAAGCGAGCATCAGGATATTTTAGAGATTCTAACCTATCTTGGCCTAACTTTGTCGATCATTGGTTGTATCTTGACCTTCATGACATACTTTTTATTTACGTAAGTATTTTACTGAACTTTGTATTTTCTAATTTCTTATCATTTTTTGTTTCAAAGATATTTCTTATTTTCCATAAAAATACTTGTTATTCCTTTTTAGTAAAAATACGCAGGTGATTATAGAAATTCTCGCGCGCTGATTGGTTAAGAAACCCACACTATCACACGATAATCACCTCAAGCGAAAATCCAAAATGGCGGCCAGCCGCTTTGTTGCTGTTACCGGAAAAAAATGCCTTTTATCTTCTTTTTTTCCTTTTTTTTGAAAGAATCACCTGTGTATTTATACTAAAACAATTTAATTGTTAATTAATCGTTGCTGGATTTCGCCGTATCGTTTTCTACGCAGAAATAAGGCAACCGATTTACTGCCATTTTCAAAAACATTCGAAATCGCGATTGGTAGTTGCGAGCTGCACGCTGAAATTTGGTTTTTCACTGCCGCCAGTCAAAAATATGAAAGGTACCGACTGAGTACCGACTGGTTTGATTGACAGCAGCAAAAAAAAAAAAAAAAAAAAAAAAAAAATTTTCAGCGTGCAGCTTGCAGATACAGAGTGACATGTTTATGAAAATTCCAGTAAGTGTGATACACTATCGGTTGATTGAGTCGCCACTTCTTTTTTGCTCAGTGATGTTAAATCAGAGCAGTCACAGATCCGCATGAACCTAGTATTTGTCTTGGCTGTTGCTCATATTCTGTTCTTACTCGCTTCTCCTGCAAGAGGCGATCTTGTGAGTATCAATATTGTTGTTTTGTTAGTTAACTGAAAATGTAGATATTTTATACTAATATTTGAGTAATATCTTGTCATATTGCGCCCAATATATACTGATTTAATAGGCGACTTTATCTTTTTTTCTTCTTAATAAGTTCCTATGTATATCAGTAGCTGCATTGATGCAGTTGTTCTACACGTCTGCCTTGTGCTGGATGTCTGCTGAAGGAATACAACTATACATGCAGGTTGTCAAAGTGTTTAACACCAACCTGAAAATGAGACAGGTTTATGGCTTTGCTTGGGGTGAGTATTGAATGATAACATGCCCACGAAAGGATCAATTCATACGACCACCTCTATTCCGACCACTTCCACTAAACCAAGCACCTCTATAGCGACCATTTCGAAAAATAATCATCTCTGTCTGTCTCTGCTCTGGCCACAATTTTTCCACTTTCGACCGATTTTCCTAATTGTTGGCAATTCTTAAAAATTCTTTTCCAGGTTTTCCTCTTCTTCTCATGGTAGTTTCACTTAGTATCGCTTCGAATGGTCATGGTGGATTGGCAAGCTTCGTTAACGAGGAATTGTACGTTTAAGGGTTTTCTTTTTTATCCATAATCAATAAATATTTTATATAATTTTTCCTTAACCCTTTTTGTCGTTAACGTTGCAGTTGCTGGTTATCGACAAAAAATCATTTGATCTGGACTTTTATTGCTCCGGTGCTTCTTTTGATACTGGTTGGTAATAAAGTTCATATTTTTTAAGTAGAACCTCTATTAAGTGACCACTCTTGGCCTTGGATTGGCAATTGTTTCAATTCTGATATTTAACGACTAAGGTCACTCTCGCTTTGATCTTTTTGGGCACCCTGGATATATTTCTTAATAATAATAATGATTAATAATTTCGTTATTTCTAACGCGTAAATTATCATGTACAAAATGACCAAATGTGCGTATGAGTACGAGTGGGAATAGATATTACGCTACGCAACTGTAAAAACTAGACTCGTGGATTGGGTCGATGCAATCCACGTACGCATAATGTTTTCCCATGCAAATAAGACCACGTTGTCATTCTAATCAGAATAAGATTCTTTATTTGAATTGTATGCATATTTGTTCCCTTAGAACTCATTTGCAACCGTTAAACAAAGAAATGATACTCTAGAGAATTCACGTGGTGAGAAATGGGAAACTAATAGGTTGGGCCTGTTTTATTGTCATCTAGAGTGTGTTTTTTCTTCTTCTCAGGGGAACATAATTGTTCTTGGTTTGGTGATGAAAGAAATGAAAAATATTACCAAGCCAATGGGAACTGGTCAACGTGCAAATGCCTTAAGGTATGCACCAAGAATTCCTTTATCGAAAATAGTATATTTAGTCTTAACTTAATAAAGATTCAAAGTTGTTGCCGTATTGCAACCCAGGGCCTATCACCGGCTCTAGGGACTAGTTAGCTTAGAGTTATTAGTAATAAGGGAGTTGAAACGTGTAAGAGCCAAACATTTCTTTCCTAAGATGCTCTGGGGATATCCAACTTTTTTTCTTGACAAATTTCTTTTCAGTAAATCAAGACATCTTGCTTCAAAAATCCCTCAATGTTTGATTGACTAGAGATCCAATAATTTTTTCTGAAGGTCAGGAAATTTAGCATGAAGTTTGCTATGTGATAGGAGCGGCCATCTTGAAACCAAACTCATAATTCCAAATATGGTATCAAAACGCCCAATTTGCATATCTGAATATTTCAGAGCATGTTATAATGTTACGTTGCGATCCCTTTATAAGTTTCTGCTCGGGTTCAATAGATTCGGACAAACATTGCATTCTGTTTAACGAATTTCGCCTTTGTCTTCGTATTGATGACGTCACGGCTGCGCTGCGCTATTGCTTAAGTCAATATCACGTGTCGGTAGAGCTAATTGTTACGTCATTCCTTCTCCGGGTTCAGCTGTTTGTCTCCAACTACCAAACCCAATACACTAAATTTCAATTCAATCTGTGAGGTAGATCTGCACTTTAGTTTGATCAGTCCAGCCAGAGGTTATTTCAGGGTTCCAATAAAATTCACGATTCATAAACGTCTCACCTGGCACTTTCTTCCTTAATCCTTTTAAGGTCCAGTTTTAAAGCTTTCGTTGTCTTGGCACCTTTGCTTGGAATCACGTGGATAATGGGTTTGCTATGCATTCTGGGAGCAGGAGCTGCTGGGTTGTACATATTCACTATTCTTAACTCCATACAGGTGAGTTGTTGTCTTCAAGGTGATTGGCCACTTTTGTGTGATAATAGTCCCCTCCACAGTTCCCTGCGCCATCTCGAAAGGTAGCCGTGCCTTTGCATCGAAGCGAAGCGAACGGTGAGCTTGCAGTGATAGAGACGTGAATAATTGTTCAAGGTGTTGAAAAAAGATCTCTATCATTGCATTCGCAACCTCACTGTCAACCTCAACATCACCTTTGAGGAATTTGCCTTCTTGAAGTTCAAAACTTGTATGGTCCCTCGATGACATTTCAATGGCTATTCATGGGTTTTGCTCACACGTTATATCGTGGGCTCAAATCGAAGGTACCACAGTAGGCAGTCACCTCCAGATAATAATGCTAACGAAAGGGTCTAAGGGAGTTGTAGAAGGGGAGGGTGTTACAATATTTATGATTTTTTTATGTATCTTTTCTTTTTTTAGGGATTTTTCATTTTTCTCTTTCATTGTGTCCGAAATTCCGAGGTAAGACTTTTGAATTGGTATAATTGATTCTAGTTGTCTATATGTTTTTCAGTGCAAGAAACAGGGTATCGTATCTATATCCTCACGAGTGAATGTATCCATGACACTTTCGATGTTTCCCCGCTCACATAGCAACAACTTTTATTTTGGGACGTGTACCTTTATATCAAAAATAAAATTACACTTTGGCTTGAAAATATGAAGTTTATCTTCTCGTGTTGAACAAAATATTTCTCCACTCGAAAATAAACGTCATATCTTCGCGCCACCGTGTAATATCTTCTATGTAGCCTTTACTTCAAGCAGGTCGTTATTTAAACTCAACCAAAGTCATGAGCAAAACAAATACATTTTTCCGGGATCTGAGTGACATGGGACGGGGTATACAAGTGAAAAAGCTCGAGTTGGTTGGATTGAGGGTTAGTAGGGTAAACGGACATTCTGCACTTGGAGCGGTCGGGTTTGGGTGAACAAAAAAAGGTAATCGTACGACCACCTTTTTTGTTCGCCCAACCGCTTCAAGTATAGAATGTATTGCTCAATTCACGCATGCGTATTTTACAGATACGAAGCAAACTTCAGCGCAAAATACAAGCGTTTGATGACAGTCACCTTAAGCAAGAATCGTCTAATAACTATCGTCGATCGAAAAATCTAAACCAAATAAATAGTAAAACGCCGAATAAGCCCACCACACCAGAGACAGCTGTGGTTAACACTCTCAATATACCACAAGAAAATATGGCTTTATCTGAGCTAGACATATCGGACAATCTTCATGGTCAAACTCAAAATGAATTGAAGTTATGAAATAACGAATAATCGTTTTAGTATTTTTAACACAAGTGAATTTAATAGATAATGGAGAGTTTTTTTTCTTTTGTTGCTGTTGTCGTTGTTGTTGTCGTTGTTGTTGTTATTGTTGTTGTTATATTATATTTATCTCTCCAAGCAGCACACATCGAGAAACGAGCGTGCGCGTTCGCACGTTATATTCACCTCTAGATGAATATAACAGCATAAGACGTAAATTGTGACCAATTTATTATACTCACTTGTGTAAAAATACTGATATACAATTATTGGATGAGAATGAGCATATTATTATCTGCCTCATTGTATAAAACATATGTATAGCACGGTAAATAAACTTCCAAGTCTGGTTACTCTATACAAATGCATCGAAAGCAACGCGTAAAGATATATCTTTAACTAAGTATTTGATTCGCTCGATATCAAACTAGGCTGATCTTTTTGAGACTTGATGATTCAAAATAGATGAGAAAAATTAGCAGCTGGCTGTTGTGATAGCTGTTAGTACAATTGAGTCCACAATGACAAATTCTCTTGTTTTAAGAATCATCCAAGTGAGCCTATCGGGTGGATACAATGCTTTTTGTCTCATTTGCATTTGCATTTGAATGCATATCACTGCTGTTTTGATTTCTGTCAAGACTTTATAATTCTATATATACAAGCTATAGTTATTAATGAGAAGCTAACTGGAATAAAACATGCTCTGCTATTGCAATAATGATAGATGTAAAAGTGCTGTAAAAGTGTCCAGGATTGTATTG